GTTCCAAAAAAGAAGAACTACAGGACCTAGAACCTTCCGACGGCTCAAAACGCCGTCCATTCGTCGTTTTTCGGATGGTCTTCAGCAATAGCCGAAATTCTAGAATCACCTGGTCAGATGGGCAGCTTGTAGTGAAGGCCTTCAGCTCATATCCACGCTTCATGTATGACCACAGCGAGGAGTATTCAGACGGTATGTCAAAGTCTTTCAAAGCCTAAAACTGGAATTATGAATACTGTAGAAAAAGCGATAGCAGCTGATACCTTGGCAGCAATTCTAATTGAATGTAATCGAGGCAGAACAACACAGTCAATGTGCGCAAGCTCGTTGCCGGTAAGGAATCGGGTCCCGGCTGATGAAAGATGCTGATCAATTCGTTGCATCTCCATGAGAAGTGCCTTATTAGAAAAAGAAGATTAGCCAAATCACATGCGAAATGTGTGCTCAAACTACCGTAGGCTCTTTCTTGATGTCCTTGATATAGAAAGCGAATATACGAAAAAGATTAGAGGTAGCGTCTTCTGCTTGCGAAGATGCACTACCACGAGGTTGCCCATACTTGTCCAACTGTTCCATAATCTCGTCTTCCACAAAAAATGCTGTGTCGTCGGAAATTTGAAGAGCCGGAGATCGCCGCAGCCCCAGCTGCAATTACACAAAACATCAAAAGTTCTCAATGACTAATAAAGCTGTGTAAAGAGCCATCAAACTACTATTTCTTGCGCATTGAAGCTCTGTCGCGAACCTCTTTGAACTCCTGCGGTGGACGAGCTTCGTTCACTGTCTTTACATCGAATTTGAGATTAGGATCGTGTTCGGACTTCCACACCATCAACATGAAGAGACTGTGAGCGGCTGGGTCCCCACCGCATCTCACACCGTCGGATCCAGCACGTGTCCAGAGGGTCAGGCGAGACATCTTGGGCCTGAAGTAATCCTTGGATCTTGATATCGTTAGATGGAGAGCGTGAAAAACAAAGAAAATAGAATATGCGACTAGAAGCGGCACACTCGAATTTTCTGAACCATTTT